TAGGCTTAATTAAGGGAGAGCAGGAGTGGCAGGAGTGTGTGACAGTTAAATGGGTTTCCCACAGACTAATGTCGGTTACAGTGCAACCATGCCTCAACTTAAGTGGGTTATTTTGTGCAAAGGGCAGCAGTGATTAGCAGTTTGACATGCCAGACACTTCTGGCCAATCCCATCTGTTTTAGAGGTTAAAAAAGCACACCTTTATGAGCTGATGGATTGATTTGTGTGCCCGTCTGGTAAAGATTAGAAGTCCAAGGCCAATGCAGTAAATGTCAGTTATAGAATATTGTTCTTTCTTGGTTGGCTCATTGTTGTAACCGTCGACTGTTTTATAATGGGGGATAACTGCTGTTTATAGAGTTGAATGCAAGACGGGTGGGGGAACAGGTGAGGGAGGAAGAAAAATATTTCCCAGATGAAATTATGCATTAATATACTCTGTTGCAGGTGTTTCAAATTCTGTGGAATCTTTTTGACCAGTTCCTTATAGTTTGAGTCACTTTGTTGTTTTATGTTATCTGAGCAACATTGTCAGTCCAAGATTTAATTTTCTGTACAGAATTAATAAATTTATTTTATTTTATTTTTTGTTACTGAGGGTTGAACTTAGGGTTGTCAAGCTGATGGATACTTTAACTTCATATCCTTACATACATTTAAAAGGTGTAATGTTTTGTTCAGTTACCACCTGGGAAAGGGAAATGAGGAAATGAAGAGAGACTTGCACATACAGGCTCTTGTGTGTACACACACACACACACACACACACACACACACACACACGATTCTGTGTTCTCTGTGGTTACTCAGGTGCAATCACAAAAGGAGACACACAGATTCAGAAAAACAAAGTTTATTATAATTTCTGGTCCTAGACAGTATGCCATACCGTGCCATGCAGGGTGACATGGAAAAGCATTGGTGAGGAGGCACTAGGGAAGAGCCCAGGCTGTGTCCTTTATTGGAATCTCCTGGAAGAGTGAGGCAGTGCAGGATCATCAAATTTAGGTTTTGACTAGTTTGAATAAGCTATATGTAGATGATAATAGTAATAAAATATTAGTATATAATAATAATACTTTTGAATAACTTACTGTTAAACTAATAACTAACAGCTAGGTGTGGTCCATATTTTACTTGGTTCCTGGCCCTTGGATGCTGTGAAGGCAAAGGAATATTGCCCCTTAGGGTGTGTGAGCCAGAAGAAAGAGGTGTGGTTTGGACTGGTTAGTTTGCATATCAAAGGCATGCTGGGGGCTGAGCCCTTTGCTGAATCTCTAAGAATTGTCTTGCCTCCAAAGGAATAGTCTCTACCCAGCCAGGAAGGTCTTTCAGATGTCAGAACATCATAATATACAGAAAATAAGAAATAAAATATATTAACAACACACATGCATACTTGCTTTCTGGACTTTCCTATAGTCTCCTGAGATTGAAATGTAGCTGAACCTAAATTTAGGCCTATTTTCTTTCTTCATTGGAAGCTGTGTGATGCCATTAAAACAGTTTATTTCAGTTAAAGATTGTAGCCCATTTAAATRTACTCAGAGACTTGATTGTGGCTATAAAAATTGACTTCAGATCTTCTAATATGCAAGGGAAAAAATCATGATATTATGTGGATGAAGTAGAACTTCAGAAATTATCGTAATTGATGAACTCAGGAATATATATAAAGCACTCAGTACCTTGGGGTGGGCAAAGAAGTGCTTGTAAGAAAAAGAATATTATCTTTATCGGAAGAGTATCTTCAATCTGAGATTTCAGTTCAAATAAAAATGTAAATAGTAACATTGAAACAGCAGAGGAAGCTTCTGGTTGGCCCCACAGGTTTTTATCCTTGTCAAAGAATGTGAGCCAGGAGTTTCCTCTTACATAGTTACAAAGTTCCATGTCTGATTCTGAATTGCTTCTTATAGAAAGAAAATTAAAATACCTAAAGAAGATGTGGTCACTGAAAGTTGTACATAGATAATAATAGTAACTAATATTTTATTAACTATATGTATACATTTATTTTGAAACTAAGCTAGTTCAGAGTGTATTGGCTTGGTTTATAGGTAGAAATGAAGAGATTTGGGTTCTAATTTTAAAAGGACAATATAACAAGGTATTGGAGTTTATTTAGGAATATGTTACTTAAATATGTATTCATACTTATTGTTCTCTGGGAAGAAGCATCAATTGAAATGATTTTTGTCTAATACATAGTTACTTGACAAAAGTCTTGCCTTTTCTGTAGGGAGAGAAGATGAAGAAACATAAGTTTTATAATATCATTGCTTCTCATTGACTAAATCATTTTTAAATTGCAAAAGATTGACTTAATTAATATAAAAGTGCTTGGGTAGTAAATTAAATATGGAAGATGTACCTAATTTAAGGGACAGAGCTTCTTCAATGAATCTCCTGGTGATGTTATATTAAACCTAAAATAAATACTTGAAGTTCTATATTTGTGCTAATACTATAAACATTTTTAAAGTACCGAAGATCATAGATCTTATGCTTTTTTGGTTTCCTTCCTTTTTCTCCAGTTCAAATGCCAGTGATATCTAGTTTGTGTTAGAATTGAATTTTATTAATGGTAACTTTTTATGCGGTTAACTTGTTTTTATGTGTTTTAATAAATTTTGAGATTTCGAATGCACATTGTCCTCTGTGACACATCGCAATTTCTGTCAATCTGTTATATTTCCTTTTTTTTTACTAAGGTGGTATTATTGGATTTGAGACATGTAAAGTATGCTTCTCTAAGCCAGTTCCTTGAACATAGGATTCTGTAGTCATACAAATGAAAGCAGAAATTCTTAATATGTTTAACATCTTGTGTTTGTAGTGTTTCCCTAAAACTGTAGCCTTATAATCTGAGTTCTAGTTTTTAGAATTTTTTTGTATGATAATGGAAAAAATAATAGCCCTATTTTGTGTTTTGATCTTAAATGCTGTAAGGGCATATTTTTTGCTTCTGTTTAGGCAGATTAATAAGAAAGCCATAATGTATATTACCTACTTATTGAAATATATTCTTAATGTATATGTTTATTCATATCTTCTCAATGTGTATGTAGATTTTTGTGTGTGATATATTTTAAATCAAGATGTCTGCACCTGTTGATTGCATTAAGCATTTGGTATCTCCTAATGAGGGATGGAAAAGGTGCTTCACACTGTGAAGTGGATCATTCCTCCTCCACAAATTGCATACATTCTACTTTTTTGTATTCAGTGACCTTGCAGTCAGTGACTTCAGCCCAGAATAGTTTCAAAGTCATGTAAATGAATGCAATTAAGGTATTGCTTATCATCTTACATAGTTCAGATGGAATCTTATTGGATAGAGAGAGTTGTTTGCTTTATGAGGAAGGTCAAAATAAGGTTAAATTTTATTACATAAAATGATTTGGTAATGTTTTTTATTTAGCTGCTGAAAATGTAGTGTCCTAATAGGAAATGATAGTGCTTCCCCCCTCCCCCAATCACCTGGATGTCTTTTCAGAGTTTCATTTTTTTTTTTTTTCTGTTTCTAAACTCTTTTTAAGGAGATACCCTTTGTCTACTTCTAAGATCTTGGGAATATTCTGCTCTTGGTTATGATTTTGGGAGTCTTTAATTTACACATATAGGGAACATTTCTTGCTGCTGATGGAAGATGTCTTTGGCATTGCTGATATATGTACTTGTGTTTATGATTTATGTTAATGTCCAGTAGCCACGCCAGGTGGTACAGGATCTCACACTGGTACTAGAGTCCAGCATCATGTGGGCAGAAGGGAGACTTGCCATATAGTCACGGTTGGGAGAGCACTGATGTAGATACTTGAAATCTTACTAAAGAAGAACTGTGAGTGAGTGGGGACTTACAGGAATGAAGTAATTACAATAAAGACAGTTATTCTTCATTGTTGTTGGTCCACATACCTCCTTCCTTTCCTTTTGTGGTAATTGTTTTTACTTAAGCATGTTCTTTTAATTGAATTTTGCAGACATTTAGTAAGCACCAGCTATATGTTTTGCACCACAGTAAGTATTGAGGGAATCAAAGAAGAATAAGGGCTCAACAGTCACAGGGAGAATAACAATCAGCATGATACAGAGCAATCAATTTAGGTTGAAAAGCCTACTTGGCTGGGATGTTCAGGGAGCATAACTTTAAAAAAAAAATTGGTACCTCTCTGTGATTTCAAGGAGACTGAAGGGCCCTGGTAAAATGAAGTGGTAATAAAAAATGGCTATTTTGGGAGGTTAGATTCAGTTTTATGGATTTATTTAGTCAAAGCTATGGTCCTTGAGAACTGATCATGGGTTATGGGCTAGGAATTTAAGAGTTCTAGCAGAGTAGTTAGTACAAGCTGAAGCAAATGGAGTGTGCTATAGAGAGATCAGGGAGTGAGCATCACACCTTCCTTGTCACCAGCTAGCTTTGCTGTTCATTGGCCTTTGATCAAGATAAAGATTCCTCAGCCACCACAATATTAAAGTGTAGACACTGTCTCTGTCTGGACAAAAACTTTCATCCATTCTTTTTTTTTCTGAACATGTAAACTTTCTTATACGTCAGTGTCATTCTTTATCTAGGAGGTTCTCATTCTGAGTTTGATATTTTCTTGTTCTTTTTGGTCTAGAGAAGAAATGTGTTTCAAACACTGTGATGACTGTCAGATAATCTGGGGACTCTTTCTCCCAAAATCCTTGAGGGAAATTTCTCTTTATTCTTGACATTAGCTTCTCATATCCTTGAGAATAGGTGACAATTTTTACATTAAGATAGAGACAGTGTATTTTTATGAATAATTCTTATAATACAGGTTGTTTCATCAGATGTAGTCAATAACTGTGCTTAAGGAAAGCCTGTATAAGAATACTTTTTATCTCGAAATACATGTTTTTTAATGTTTTTGGTAAAGATTTGAGTAATTAAATTCCATTTTAAAATGAGCTGTTGAAATTCTTTGAGATAAGATTCACTTGAAGTAAAGCATATTTCTCTTCATTTTCAGGGAATATTTGGATTGTGAACTGTTTCAGAACTTTGTTCTCAGGACCTATTATTTTAACATTTGGGAGAAACACATCCAGAAGGTATTGTATTTTGTCTTATTGCTCCATTTTTAAAAATTCAGTAAAGCCTTTCCARTGATAGGAAAGTAAGACTTTTATGCCATATTGTGTTATTTATTTTTCTTTAGCTTTCAGTTCTGGATAAACTAGTTTGACATTTGTCACAGAGAAGAAGAATGTATTTTAGTCTTGACAAATCTGAATTTTGTGTAAGCAAGTAAAAAAATTCTGATTTAGATCAAACCAGTTTTATCTATTTTAATCATTTAAATTGTTCATATTTTACCTACACTGAAAAGTATAGAACTATCTTAAAGAATGCCTTGATTTGAAAATGAAGTGTGTTAAGTTCCTTTTTGTAAGATAGTATGAAGTATGTATTAAAACATTTAGGCAATCTTAGAGTCTTCATGCCCACAGTAGCTCTACCATGTAGTGTAGGGATCAGCTGCTACCTGTATGCCTATAGATCTGTGTATGGGATCCATRGACAACTCAGCCATGCCACTTGTGTCTGCTTCTGAAGATCCATGTACTAAGTTCTCTCTTTGCATTTTCTCCATGTTTAGATTGGTGTAGCCTTATAATTGATCTGCTTGTAGATCCTGTAGTAGGTGACATGTAACTGGGAAGAAAGGATATTAGGTGGATTGCTGCTGGGTCCAGTGGCACAAGCCTGTAATACCACCAACTCAGGAGCCTGAGGCAGGAGGATCACAAGTTCAAAGCCAGCTTCATAATTTAGCGAGGCCCTAAGCAACATAGACCCTGTCTCAAAATAAAAAATGAAAAGTACTGGTGATGTAACTCAGCGGTTAAGTGCCGCTGGGTTCAATTCCTGGTACCAAAAAAAAAAAAAAAAAAAGAAGATTGGTAATCAAGAAACTTACCGCTTTGTGCTTTTGACATTTGTACTTTAATGTGTAGGCAGCTATAACAAAATACAATAGGCCTGTAGCTTGTATACACTAAAAGTTCATTTCATACAGTTTTAAGTTTATTTCTTATAGTTTAAGAGGCTGGGAAGTCCAAGATCATAGTGCTAGCAGATTCAGTGTCTGATGAGGGGCCCACATTCTTATAGATAGCTGTCTTGTGACTATAACCTCATGTGGCAAAAGGGGCCAGGGACCTCTTGGGGCCTTTTATTTTGCTTTCTTTTGTTTTATAAGGGCACTAATGCCATGAAGGCAGTGCCCTCATGATCTGATTGTCTAGTGTTTTCCTTTGTTTAAAAAATACATTTATTTTTTAYTTATTTATTTATTTTTATGTGGTGCTGAGAATCAAACCCTGGGCCTTGTACATGCTAGGCGAGCTTTCTACYGCTGAGCCACAACCCCAGCCCGTGCTTTCCTTTTTAAAAACTTAGGCTAGCTGTCTTGCTTGGAATAGAAACAGATGAAGACAGGAAGCATAAATTTATGTAATAAAATAATATATTAATTAAGGTGGTAGTTTTTACCTTATTGCCTGAATATTCATGATTTATATTCACATGAAATAATACAAATCAGTTTTACAAATTTTCTTAATCACTTGTCAAACGGTAAGAATTTCCAGGATTAGATGAACATAGGTTTTCTTTTCTTTTCATCTTCCTCAACATATTGTTTTGAATTTTTAGAATAGAAATTGTCTTTCATGTTCAAGATTTTTCACTATTGGTAAAACAGCACTTTCTTTTCCCTCTTAACAGTCATAGGAGAAAGATAAAAACAAATAAGAAAGTAAAATAAGCAAATTAGGACTATAATAGAACTTGTAGATAAACCCCAAATATTAGTTGAATTTCATTTTTACAAACGTACTTGATTTGTAAATAAATTATATGATCAGAAATGCTGGATTTTGTAGTATTTAAAGTTGTCTTTGTAAATTGAAGGTAAGGATTTAAAAGATAAACATTAAAGCTCAGTTTTGAAGAAGATTGTTACACTTTTAAATCCARTGTAAATTATCCATTTATGAGTTTATCATTATCATCTTAGAATTAAGAGTATTAAACAGACAAATTCTCCTGTCTTTACGTAATTCTTTTGGAAATATAATGTGTAAGACCCTGTAAAAATGCTTAAAAAAAAAACCTTTTATTGAACTGTAAGTAACTTTATGTAGTCAAATAGATACTCTTAACTGTATGTAAGTTTCAGTTATCATTTTATTTAAGTATTCCTATATATTTCTATTAAGGGTAAAAAGCATCTTACAGAATTTCTTGGAAAGTCATGTATAATTTAAACTTAGTCTGGTGACCACACAATGCTATTTTTCTAGGTTTTAAGCCTTTAAATAGTGTAACCTCTTCTTACCTTGGTTATTGTGAAATGGAGGTATCATGCTAACTTTCTATTTCTTCTTCTTCTTCTTCTTCTTCTTCTTCTTTGCAAATCAAGAATAATTTTGTACTTTATTTCTAAAATTTTAAAATTTCTTCTAATTAGTTATACAAGATGGAATACATTTATGCACTTTGATAAACATAAACAGAGTATAATTTCTCATTTTTCTGATAGTACATGTTGTAGAATTACATTGGTCACGCAGCTTATGTACATAAGGTAGTWATGTCTGTTTCATTCTACTGTCCCTCCTACCCATCCCCCAACTCTCCTCTGTCTAATCTAATGTAACTCTATTCTTCCCTAGCTCCCCCTCCCTTATTGTGAATTAGCATCTGCATATCGGAGAAAACATTTGGACTTTGGGTTTTGGGGGATTAGCTTATTTCACTTAGCATGATATTCTCCAGCTCATCCAATTACTGGCAAATGCCATAATTTCATTCTTCTTTAAGGCTAAGTAATATGCCATTTGTATATTCCATTTATTTATATTATATAATTTATATATACATATATAAATTTTATATATATGCATATATATGTGTATGTGTGTGTGTGTGTGTGTGTGTGTGTATACATATATATATACTTTTTAATTTGTTCATCTGTTGAAGGGCACCTAGATTGGTTCCATAGTTTAGCTATTGTCAGTTGAGCTGCTTGTAAACATTGATGTGAGGCTGGGGTTCTGGCTTAGTGTTAGAGTGCTTGCCTAGCACATGTGGAAGCACTGGGTTCCTCAAYACCACGTAAAAATAAATAAAGGTATTGTGTTCATCTACAATTAAAAATATTTTTTAAAAAATTGATGTGGCTATGTCACTGTAATATGCTCTAAGATTTCATCTCACCCCAGTCAGAATGGCTGTTATCAAGTTATAAATAATAAATGTTGGTGAGAATGTGGGAAAAAAGATACACTAATACATAGCTAGTGGGACTGCAAATTGGTGCAACCATTATAGAAAGCAGTATGTAGATTCCTCAGAAAACTTGGAATGGAACCACCAKTTGGCCCAGCTATCCCACTTCTCACTTTTTACCCAAAGGTTTTAAAATCAGCATGCTGATTTTCTTTTATAGCATAACTTATTAAATGAATACAGTAGTCCCCACAGGGAATATATTTCAAATCCCCGCCTCTGCCCCAGTGGATACCTGAAACTGATCTATGTGTATCTTGGGATTTTTTTTTTTCCTAACATATACAAATTAAATGCCTTTATCTTAACTAAGCACTTCTCACGCACTGTGGCCATAATTTTTACAGCTTGAGGTGCCATAGCAAACCTGGCATGAATTTCTTTTTCCTTCTTCATGATTTCATGGATAAAAAAATCTGTTCTTACTATGCTTCTTAGCAACCTCAGCATATGATTGTTTTCTTCCTTATTAAGTAGAGAACTTTTTCTTTGTCACTTAAAAAGAATTACTTTATGGTTTCTTTGACATATACAAATTACTTGCACTTTTGGGCCGCTAATAAGTAAAATAATCATTACTTGAATACAGGTACTGTGATATTTAGTAACTGATCTGATAAATGAGAGGGCAACTGCATGACTAATGAGCAGCTGGTACATACAGAGTGGATACTCTGGAAGAGGGGATGGTTCACATCTCACATGCAACGGAGTGAGATAGGTTGAGATTTCATCATGCTACATACAATGACATGCAATTTAAAACATATAAATTATTTATTTCTAGAACTTTCCATGTAATATTTTTGGACTTCACTTGACCTCAGGAAACTGGATCCATGGAAACCAAAGCTTCAGGTAAAGGGAGTTAGTGAGTCACCCCTCATTATCCAAGAGTGTCCCTTCTTTAGAATTTCAGATACTCAAATTCCTCATATAAAATGGCATAGTATTTGCATATGACTTATGTGATTCCTTATATTTTAATTCATCTTCAGATTTCTTATAATACCTATGTAAATGCTTTGTTAAATAGTTGTTACACTCTATTGTTTAGGAATAATGACTAGAAAAAGAAAGTCTGTGTATGTTCAGAACATACACTTTTTTTCTCAAATATTTTTAATTCAGGGATGGTTCTTCAAATGCAAAACTCACAGATTAGAGGGCAGACTAGACTGTTTCTGTCTTTAACTTCATTTGTAGACACTAAAAGCAGCCACAATGATAGCCACAGTTTAATACAGTTTATGCAAAATGCTGACATGAGAATACTAAGATTATTTGAGCCCTGGATCTCCATATAGACTGTTACCAAATCATTTAGCCTAGGCTTCAGTTTCCTGATCTGTAAAATAGCACACAATATACGTYTTAGGAATATTATGCTAAAAAAATAAGGAAATACACAAAGTATATTATTATCATGGTACTCTTAGAAAGATAATGTGTTAATGACAATATTGTTAATTTGAATGCATTTTTAAAAGAATCAAAATAAGTTTTTAAACTCAGTAGCATAGTCTTCTGTAARTTAGGACTTTTTCTTCCACTCATTTTCTGTTTTTCTTTCTTTGCCTCTGCTTTTAAGATTTTTCACAAACCCCTTGTCCATGCTTTCGAATTCAGGTTTGAACCAGTTATGATCTGCCACCTACTGACCCAATTCTCCATTTCCTCCAACTCTTGTCTCCTCCTATCTACTTGCACATTATGTTTGTTGGGTGATTAAACTGGTTTTCACTGTATTTTTACAAAGATCTAGATCAGTACAGGGTCAGGAACAATAATTTCTGAGTTTGTTTGCACTACCAAGCAAGGGGGTGCATCAAGGTCAGTAATACTATTCATTCTTTCCCCCAGGATAAACTGTTTTCAGGGAAAATAATTCATAAAATATCACACAGACTCCTTTTACCTCTCATTGCATGGCAGTTAATAGGTTATAAAAGTGATTTCTACCCACATATTGAGGTTTTAAAAGTTTTTAATATTAAGAGTGAGTTTGGAAGTGACTCACCACATATGGAACTACTTCAAAATGCATGCTCTTAACTACTATTTGAATTTTTATAGGTTTGAAGTTTTGCTGACTGCAAGAAAATAAAATGCCCAGTGCCAGTTCTTACTGGGTCAAGATTTATTTTGAAGCATCAACATTTCCTCAACTTTTTGATACTTAAAATGTCCTGAAGATTTTCCTGCAAAAGGTTTTCATAGACTTTATTCCAGTAAGGAAAATTTTCAGTGTTTATGCCCTAATAGTAACAAAAGTTATGTATTTGGTGAATTTGGCACTAGATACTGCCAGAGGCTAGACTACCCTAGAAATATATTTTTATTTAGAGAGTCTAGTGAGGTCAGCAAGGACTTATAATTATATTTGTGTCTTTAGAATAGCCCTAGGCACAGATTATCTGACCAATGATTTATAAAGAGATTGTCCATTTCTCATGAAATGATCAGGAATCTGATTACCAAAGCAATTGGTGTGACACTGTGAAGGCTTTATTGGGTAGTGTTTGTGGAACGTGTTTAAAAACAAAACAAAACACAATGACCTGCATTTGAATCCCAGATCTACCTGCAAATTACTCAACTTCTCTGAGCCTCCTCTGTGAAATTAATATCTGATTTATATATATAATGACTTAATATGATAATGTTTGACTTAGTACTAATATTAATAACTGGTATTTATTTGCATCTGCTTTRTAAAAGCTAATTATAAAAACTGCAAATAACCTACCATGTAGTTATTTTAAAACTTATATTCCATGTTGCATCATCATTAGGGTACAGAAGTATATTTGAGGCCACTTAGTTTTTAGGACACCACATTTGAGTCAAAGCAATGTTATGTGTAAGTGGACTAAAATTGACAAGGACTGAGACATTGTGGTGTGGTGGTTTTGAACAGACCAGACAGTTTAGGTGTGATCTTAACACTTCCACTTATTTATTATTGATAATAGGCAAATCACTTTACCTCTCTAAGGGTTCTCCTCCGTAAAGTGGGGACAACTTCATAGGATTGTTTGTGAAGTTTCTGGCCCATACATAGTATGCAGTAGTTTTTAATTATTTTTGTTATTCTCATGTCTTACACATGTATAGCTTTGACTGTTTTGGGGGGGAATGTAGTTATTATTATTATTATTTTTTGATGTCATGGTTACTRATAAAATGTTGGAATTAAATAMTTTTTTTWAAAAAAATTGAGTAGTGCTTATTCAGTTGGTTTACATTAAGAGAAGGAAATTCAGAGAYGTTCAGTTTAATTTTTCAGCTTTCCCTGTGACCCGTTTCTGAATTTCTAGCAGTCACAGAGACCAACTTATATGTTATAAAAAAAGATTTTTACATCACATATATTTTTGGACATTCTGTGGCTTTAAACTGTTAATACAGGCTTAACTTATACATCTTCTGTGCTTCTGCCTCATTTCCTGTATTTGTAGAACCCCAAAGAGGAAGCAAGGAGGAAGTAAGGACCAGGAGGAGGTAGGCTTATACTTGAGATCAGTATATAGTCAACCTTAAGATGATCAGGTATCCTCTCTGAACTAAAGTCTCAGGTAAATTGATCCAATGACTGTGTTTGAAGTTTTACCAACAGAATAATTTTTATTGCTTTCACTTACTGTTGGAGACTATGTAAAATTTCAAAGGAAAATCTTCCCTTTTCTTCTGTGCAGAAGGCACAGAAGATGTCTAGGTTAAGCCTGTATTAACACTGTAAAGCCACAGAATGTCCAAAAATATATGTGATGTAAAAATCTCCTTTTAGTAAGTTTTTTTTCAGAGCCATAATTCATCCAAATAATTTTTAGAAAATAATAGCAAATAAACATTGATATTTATTTACCATATATATTACAGATATTAAGTGTATTCTGTAGTTAAAATTTTTAATATTCTTTATTTTTGTCCTATTATTTCTAGAGTAAGTTATTCAATGATAGGAGCATTTCATTAATAAATTTATAAGAATTTTCAAATTTATTGGACTTTCATGGAAAGGCATTATGTCGTGTTAAGTTATACTGGGAACTTGAAGAGTTACAGTTTTAGACATTTACAGTTTTGACTTTGTTACTAGTAGTTTGAGTTAAAAATCAAAACCCTTTGATTCAAACCATCACTGACTCAGTAGGCCTAGGATTGCTTCAGAGTTGAAGGAGAATGTCTCAAGTGAATGGTATCCCCTAACTGCCTTCTGGAGTGTATACACACACAAAGGGAACATAATTACCTTTGTTTAATTCATCATCCCCTGAGTTTATTAGTCTTATACCCCCTTCCTTCCCTTTACCATCCAGCTTTCTTTCTCCCTTCTTCCTCCCTTCTTTTTTTCTTTCTTTTGGATAAATATTTATCATTCTGCAGAGCATTGCTAGGCACATAGTGGTTTGGAACATGATTTTACTGTTTAAATTATTTTAAACTTCTACACTTGGCTGCATTTGCTTTGGTCATATATTTCCCTTCTTCCATTAAGAACAGCCACACTGTTCGTAACATTATTACTGTCAGAAAATAGCTCAAAATACCTTGTTTTTATTGTGATATGACATGTTCTATAGGCATACAGCATAAAAAAAAAGCGGTGGGCAAGGTAGAAGCACCTGACTTCCATTAGGTGAATGAATCCACCTTCAGTTTAGTTTGACATAACACATTAAAGGAAACAGAATAGTTGAATAGTATTTCTATGTTAATTAAAATATAAGTAATAAAAGATGATACTTAAATAGTAAGTGATGTATCATCTTACCTACCAGAAAGTTTAGGTACAAACAGTTAATTAATTGCCATAAYAGTGTTATCAGGACTGACCCACGGGACATTTTCCCTTGTCCTTTGCTTGGCAGTGGCACTCTTCATTGTTGCAAGGTGGGCATTTTCCCATGYTGTTTTTATTTTTTGTTGTTSTTGTTTTTTGGGTTTTTTTTTTTAAGTGAGAAAAACATTTCCCAGTAAACTTCACTCGACAAAATTATGTCATATGCCCATGCCTAAGCCCCTTATGGTTAGAGTAAACATAATTGGTCAAAATGAGTAATTTGACCTAATCAGGATTCTCCTCCTGAGGGAGAAGAGTGAATGTTCTGCCAGCAAATAAGAAAAGGGCTGAAAAAGTGCGTCTTTGAGGAGGCCACCACAGTGTCTTCACATAGCTATGTTAATTGCTGGAAACTCTCCTGTGAGACCATGAAATGTAGTCATGAATGGAGTGCCTGCTATATTCCAGTTATTCTTCAAGGCCCTGGGAATAAAATACTGAGTAAAAGAGTGATAGAGGAAGCATTGCTGCCCTCCTGGAAGCTTAATTTTATTGGTGAGATAGATGCAATGAARCAGTTCACTTTTATGGTATCTTATTAATGAGTGCTAATGAAAATGGAAACAGAGAAGGTGGTATGGAAAATCTGTGGTAGGGGGCATGAAATTTTAGATTGTGTTCAGGGAAAGCTTCACCCAGAAGTGAAAACTGAGTTGGTATGGGAGATAGTGATGTAGATGTTTGAGAAAAGGAAGTATTTGAGATCCCYGTGGCTGGTGGGGGATGAATGCGAAAGAGCCATAGGAGATAAGGTTAGAGGGTTTAGGATGCTACTAGACAGTTTTGAGCAGAAGAGAACCCAAAAAGAACCCCTGTGGCAGTTGTATTAAATAGATCAATGGGGCATTGAACATAGAATGAAGAAAACCAATTAGGAGGCTATTTTAATAATCGAGGAAAGATGAAGATGACATGAATAGAGGCAGTAAGAAGTAGTTGGATTCCGGATATTTTCAGATAAAGCCCTGAGAATTTGCTGTCAAATTGGATACGGGGTGTGGCAGTCAGTTTT